TTTTTCAACCGTTTATTGCGGGAAAAAAGTGTAAATAATTAAGTTTTGAAAAGGAGTTGAGGAGATTAAGTGTTTCATTTATTTTGGTTTGAAAATATGATTTAAGTGGACGACGAGTACTCGAACGGTAGGCTAAGTACGACCATCATCCAAATACTCAGAGACTAAGAGGGACAAGTACGTCCAACTAATCCTTTTTCATCTGATTATTTATTGCAAAAAAAATTAGGTTTCAGTGTGAAAATGATTTTGATTTGATTGTTTTGAAATGGTTTTGAATCGACGGTTTCGAAAGGGCTTGAAATAATGAAAGACGCGAGTTGAAACGCAAGGTTGAGAGTTCTAGTGCGAGAGCGCGAACTCTAACGTAAGGCGTAACTTAATGCCACAAATTCTCCAGAATGTAGTGTGCACACAAGCACCTAACAAAAATTATAAGACAATGATGTGCACACCATAATCATGAACAACACGTATTCATTACAAATGAATCGAAAAGTAAATGTGTGTATTGAATTAACATAACACGAGGACGTGAATTGAGTTCACGCAACACAATGACATGTAATACGAAGCTCCCAGCACATAGTTTAAATCTGATTTTAATGCAATAAAATGAAAATGGTGCAGACTACCACAAATCTAACAACAAGTTGCTAGCGTGAAGCGCGATCATCGCAAATAAATCAAACACAACGAAATATATCATAATGAAAGCAACGTCACATGATGAAATGCAAAGTAGTGAAAGCAAATGTGAATTGATGATATGCTGAACTATCAAAAAAATGCGTCCTAGTTTAAGTAATTTGACTTAAACGTGACGACAACTGAATTAAATGTCACGTGTAAACAAAAGAAAAATCAGCCATAAAATTGCTAATGCAAAACGCCTTCATCGTAATCAAAACGAAATGTAAGTAAAGCAATGCTAACAAACAAATCAAGTTGAATATATGTAATAGGCTCAAATCCAATTTTGGTGCAATAATAATCAACAAACATCAACTCATGTACCGAATAATTACATTGTTGTATCAAAATAAAATCTAGCAGAGTCACGACATACAAATCATGTCAAACCTATGGATCGACATCACCATAGCGAAAAAAAAAAAACAGCAACAGAATCACAACCAAAATATCCACAATATTACATCATTTCAAAATACTTACAACATCCAGACAAAAATAATCCAACAGAAACGCGGTGCCAACAACGCAATCGAATCAAATTTGACATACTCAATAAAAACAGATACTCATCACCACAACAGAAATTCAAAAGAAAAAAATTCAAATCATTACCGACTAGGTCAACTATGGTTGATGCTCTCTTGTATTATCGGTGCTATGATTTTGGCATGGTGGTTCGGTCTTGGGTTGACGGGGCTGTGAAATGGTGTTGATGCTCGTTTTGCTAGAGTTGTTGAATCAATGATGGTCGGCGTTAGTTTGAGTAGTTTAAAGGTTGGTAATTGTTGAAGTGAGGATGATGGTCGTATGGTGGTGTAAAGGAATCTGGTGGTGGTTGAACGATTATTGTGAAAGTTTGCGTATGGTGGTGAAAAATGCAGGCGGGGGGAGTGAGTTGTTTTAAAGGTAGTGGTGAAAACGCAGGCGGGGGAGTGATTTTTTTAAAGGTGGTGGTGAGAAAACGGAGTGCTATCTGTCAGAGCCGGTGAGAGACAATGAAGGAGAGGGTGCGTTATAAGATAGAAGGAGATGATGTGGTACGTAAAGTTGCTTTGAGGTGAGTTACATGAAGGTGATTTGGGTGGTGAGGTCCAGCGGAGTTAGTGTGGGATGGAAGCTTGGTCGTGAGTTGCAGGAGGTTGCGCGAACAATAGGGCGGAGGGAGAGCTGAAGGAGTGTGGTTCGTTGTGGATGGTTTCAAAGAGAGTGAGAGGTAAGTGTGGATGCAGGTGATTGAAGAGAGAGATTAGGTGTGAAACGAAGGAGTAGATGAAGTTGGTAGTGTAGTGAATGAAGTTATGTGATGCTGTTGAAGTGTGAAGAAAGTTATGAACAGTAGCGGGTTCACATTTTTATTGAAGTTCTTTCTTTTCTCTTTTTTAGTTTTCTCTTTTTGAAATTGAGATGGGATGCTGATCCATTTTCAAGGGCCAATGATAGTAAGCTATTATAGTATAAATTTTAGGGTTCCAAAATTAATTAATCCCCACAATGTCCCTAGATATTTTGTAAGTGATCAAATAAAGCTCAAAATTAATGAAGTAAAATGCACAAATATATTTAATAAAAATCAAACTGGTTATTTGTTTTTCTCTATTTATTTTTCTTAATTATTTTGAATTAAAAAAACAAAATGGAATAAATTAAAATGAATAAAAGTCGAACATGCAAATATGCGGAAAAAAACAAAATGAACACATTAAAATAATACGTGAAATCAAATTTAATAAAATAGGCAGTCGCAGATCAAATATTGCAATTAAAAATACCTTGATGAAAAAGCTTAGACATAATAAAATGCATACGTGTGAAGATGTGAAAACATAAAATGAGCATTCCGGATTAAATTACGCATAATGTAGATTAATAAATCAGACAGTTGCAAGCACAATTCAAAAAAAATGTTCACTCATTTTACGTACGGTTAAGAAATCGACTCAACTGATTTGTCTATAAAACTAGGGTCATGCTAACCAGTGCCCTCAGGGCACTAGTTAAGAATTTCAAATAAGGAAAATATGTTATATTTAGTTCACTCAATACACACAATATTCTTTAAAAAGTCGGATTATTTCTTTTTTCAGGGCATTGAATACACATATATTTAGAAAAAAATGTATTTTCAATCTCTTAAATAATGTCCAACTTATCATTTTAATCTCTTAACCAATGCTCTGAGGACACTTGTTAGCATTTCTCATAAAACTATAATTTTATTTTTGAGAAAACAAAATAAAACAGGTTGCATAGAAATTTAAAATGCACGAAAAATTGGGGTATGAGAGAGTTATCCGTTATGATATTATTTTGCATTCATGCATATTTTAGAGTATTAATTACAGTGATAAATGTGTTGTTAAATATGATTGTTATATTTGCTGTAAGTATTAAGAATATCTTGATGTTATTGTGAGTTAGTTACTGGTCAGTTATATTGATATTGATTTGTTGTTGTTTTTTAAATGGATTATCAACATGTGACATGTGTAGTGAATTTAAGTCCCACATGCTTTATATTCAAATAATATTGGTATTTATATAGCTCACACTTACTAAGGTTCTCTTCTTTTGAATTAGATGGATGTTGAAATGACTAGGACCCTAAAGCCCAACTAATTTGTTATAATTAACTTCCTAATAATTTCTAAAAATAATAATTAATTAATTCTGTATTTAATAATAAATTATTCTAATTATTATTAATGTATATCATTCAAAATATTATTTTAGACTAATCATCATTATTTCTCATATACAAAACTAAAAGGGATCAACTAAATCTCAATAAAATTCATAGAAAAATAAATTTTTAAATAGGAGACTAAAAATTAAAAAGAGAATCAAAAATACATTTAAATAAAAAATAAATAATAAAGTAGAGAAACGATTGTATCTTATCCCGTAAAATAAGTTCATAGAGTTAATATATCTGATTTTTGCTATTATTACAATTATGCCACTTCATTCGAGTATCTCCTAAAATTATCTTAAGGATGTTTGTTTTAATTTAAAAAATATTTATTTTCATTTTATTTAAAAAATAATTTTTATGAAAGTATTTTTCAATATATTAACAAAAATTAAATTATTATTTTTCAATTAAAAATTAATTTTGATATCTTATAACGTAAATATACATTCTTGAAAATCAAAACATAATCAAAATCTCAATTTTTTAAAACGTTGTATTCCAAAAATAATTTTAATGTAAAATCATTTAAAGTAGCTTTTAAATTAAGTAATTTTTTAAAATTTTGGTATAAAAAACATTCAATAACATATTGAAATATCTAAAATAATATTTTAAAAACAATTATTTAAACCAAATTTTCATTTGAAACTTTTATTAAAAATTATTTTATAAATTTTTTTAACAAAAATGTATAATATTATAAAAATTATTTTTAAAAAACTAAAATAAACGGGCATGATATTGCCAAACATAGCATGAAATTCTTCGGATATATATTTGCTTCCATCTGAATTGACCCCTCCACCAATTTAATCAAACACCTTAGAATAATTATTATTTTATTACATTATACCAAAGAAAATTCTATTTATTATAAAGTAAAATTTATTCCCAATAGACATGAGGGATATATTCTTCACAAGAGTTTATTACCCATCTAAGTGGGTTTGATATGCTAATAATAAGTGTGAAATGCTTGACAAAACCACCAAATATCCCTCTATTAAACACTTGTGCATGATGCCTTTATTCTTCTGTCATTGCTTTTTATTGTCCATTGGGCTAAGCAAAGCATTCAAATTCACAATAAAAAGAAGAATATTAAAATGTGCTTTTTTATTTGCTTCCTAATCTATTAGTGAAAATTCCTACTTTTTATATTTTACAGAAGGAATCCAATCCAAGTATGAACAAAAAACATGAGAAAATTGAGATGCTTCAGAAAAGCTTCCACATAATTAGTTTATGAAAAAAGTTGCATTTTAAAAAACTTATGAAAGGAATAATCACTTAGCTAAGTTAAGTTCACAAAAGGCTTTGTGAATGGAATAGCCAACAAGACTTGGAAAAGATAAAGTTTTCTTTTTTCATTTTTAGTTAAAAAACGACTTTTTTATTCTGTAATCTAAAAGATGCGGGTAGTTTCAAGAAAAGCATACTAACAAATGTGAAACAGGGTATTCTATGACTATGTAAAACCCTCTACTCCATATTATACATATGTGGGGTCATCAATCCATCATGTATCAGTATATATAGTTCAGCACATACACGTACCTTAAAACAAGTGCGATTAATCACCTTTACACAACTCACTTTTTCATTCTCCAAAATGCAGAAGCCAGAGACTCAAAGAAATCAGCCTCCACCAGGTTCTCTTATATCCATCTCTTTCAAACAAACATGCACACAAATAGTTTCAGACAACCTAGAAAATTTGGAGATAATAAGGAACTCACTTTTCATTGTTTCATGATTTCAGGATACCCGACTGACCAGGATCCCCCAACAAAAAGAAAGATGTTTTTTAGTTCAAAGAAGAAAGGAGAGAGGGGCTTCATTGAGGGATGGTAAGCATAAGCATCTCAAGAGAACTACACAGTAATGAATAAAACATATAAATCTTTAACTCAAGTTAAGCTTCCACTAGCCAGAAGAGATATATTGATTAGAATGCCAGTTATTAATGACTTTGATCAGAATAATTCAAGACCTTCAAACAAATTTATTGGCTTAACAACTGATTTTTTTTATTGATGATGCAGCCTCTTTGCTCTGTGCTGCTGCTGGCTTTGTGAAGAATGCTGCTAAACTACAACTGTGGCATGGTGGAGAAGAAATCATATTAGCATATAAGCAATTACTGTTAATGCTTCATTCTATGTTTTATGGTTTGATTTTAGTGGATTTGAGTGTGATCAGGAGTGAACTGTATTACTTATTACTTACTACTCACCTGTAATTTCATTTGTTGTAATATTAAACTCTTCAATTTCCTGGTTATTCTATGTTTGTCACATAAACAAACTGTAAGAAGACACAATTAGAGTGTCTTGCTAAATTGATCGCACTAATATCACATATCATGCACAGCACACGGCTAATACCTAGGGGTGGGAAATTGTGATTCATACAAGTATATGTACATGATCAATGAAGGTTCAAAGATGCATAGCTAAATGAAAGATTATTCTGAACTTTCATAGGTTGATAAACTTTAAAATATTTTCATGACATGCAGTTACATCACATCAGTGAATTTTTATATTCAACAGATAACTTTATGCAATACAAATATAATGATGTCTTAGCTATTCTGTACAGATGTGGCACATAATACGTTTTAGCGATATTCATACTCAGAGATACGACCTTCCAGCCCATTTCTCTTCATATTTTCCAAATGAGTATGAAGTTGATGGCATCCCAGTCAAGTGAAAGGGATCAGGTTCAATTCCATAATCAGTGAGGGGCCTATTCTCCAAAATATCATCATGCTGTTGTACAAATTCTGGTATCTCAATCTCTCCTTTCTTTATATCATCCCAAAGGTACTGAAGGCGGTTAACGTACTTGATCTTCCAATATAATCTAAACAAAGCAAAACGAACAAACAGAACCAAAACTATTAATAATAATTAAATATAAAAAACTATGCATTTGGTCAAGCATTTATATGATGAAAACCATAGATTCAGCAAGGCCATTACATTACACAATCGTATTTTGTAGCCATATCATTTCATATAAGTTGTAAAATAAAACACACTCCTTAACGTTTCTGCTAAGAAAACAATGACTGACTTACCCTCCACTTAAGAAAAACCTGCCGAGAGTAGCTATGACTAGCCTGGAACGAAGCCCAGGGTGGATGAAGTACATAGTTTGAAGCCTGTCCTTAAAATCATCTGGAAGTTCTTCATAAATCCACCTCAAGATGGTCATCCCAGGAGAATTATCCTCCTTTTGAACAGTGCTGTGCATGTAAACAATGCAAAATGGCCCATCTGGCAATTCACTGAATATTTTGTGAAAAACATACCTCTTCAGCCGTTCTGCACTCACAACTGTTGCTGCATATCATTTCAAAGAAGATATCCAACATAAGAGATAGAAGTAATAAAGAACAGCTTCTCGGAAAGACATACTGTGGGTATATATTAATAGAGTTTTAGAAGAGAAGCATATTGAAGGAGAAGTAGTTTGTATTGATTAATTCTCCAATGAATTGATACACTGTTATGCTTTATATAGACAGCTTTGCATAACAGAAAAGGACAGCTCAGCATAACTAACTGTTAGAGTTAGTTATGACTGATAACAGTTTTAGATTAAATGCTGCCAGGTCAGCATTTCTAAACTATTCTAATCTATTGCTTACACTCTAATATTTCCCCTTCAAATGCTACTACTCTGAGAGAGTCATTTGCATCCTTGAAGAGAGGATTTGTCCACAACCTTCAAGTGATCTTTGAGAGTGAGAAATCTGAGAGCTGAGAGAGGTTTAGTCAAAATGTCTGTTGTTTGTGAAACGGCTGAAATATGCTTGACTACCAAGCTGTGGTTAAGAACCTTAGGAAGAAGATATTCAATTCCATATGCTTAGTTTTAGCATGCAGGACAGGATTATGTGAGAGAACCACAGTGCTTAAGTTGTCACAAAGCAGAAGAGGAGTTTGAGATGGTATCGGTTGAATATTAGCACAAAATCAAAACAGATTTTGTCATACAGCTCATTATGGCTGGATTTAAATTGTGATTAAATAGAAATTAACTGTATTATTATATTCTTACCTTATTTAGGATTATCATTTATAGGGAGAATAATTACCCCTATTTCCTAGTGTAATTTATATTCTATAAATACCTCATATGTACTGTGTTACAGAATATACAAAATAGAAAAAGCATATTTCTATATGGTATCAGTAGCAACAAGAATCCTTTAGGGTTTTTTTATTTTTGCTTCCGCTCTGTTTATCTTTTTTTACATCCCACAATGTCTGATACTGAGTCCTCACTTCCACCCAAACATTCCTCACCCGAACCTAAATTAGTTTGGACGTACCATGAAAACCACCCTGTTCAGATCACAACAATTCGGCTGAACGGTGCTAATTATCTTCAATGGTCGCAATCCGCTCGTATGTATCTCAGGGGGAGAGGAATACATCACTGGCGACAAAAAACAACCAGACAAGACAGGTGCAAATTATGATACATGGGATGCTGAAAACTCCATGGTCATGACATGGTTAGTCAACTCCATGGATGAAGAGATAGGTGCAAATTATCTCTGTTATGATACTGCAAAAGAACTTTGGGAAGGTGTCTCCCAAATGTACTCTGATTTGGAAAATCAATCCCAAATCTATGAATTAACTCTCAAATTGGGAGAAATTCGGCAAGGTGAAAATTCAGTCACCAAATACTTCAATTGTCTCAAACGTATTTGGCAAGATTTGGACCTTTTCAATGAGTATGAGTGGAAATCACCTGCCGATAGCAAACATTACAAGAAGATGGTGGATGTTAGTCGTGATTTCAAGTTCCTTGCAGGTCTAAATGTTGATTTTGATGAGGTTCGTGGCCGAATTCTAGGCAGAAATCCTATCCCTCCAATTGGTGAAGTCTTTTCAAAAGTACGTCGCGAAGAGAGTCGTCAGCAAGTGATGCTTGGTAAAAATACAGCAGCTGTCCCTCCACAAGTTGAAGGATCTGCCTTGGCAATTCCCCATCTCAATCGTAAACCACTTCATAATCAACGAGGTGGAGACAATACTCATTTATTTTGCGATTACTGTGGGCGCAATCGCCACACTCGGGAAACTTGCTACAAACTACATGGGCGACCAAATCATGGCAAGGCTGGTAAATTTGGTGATCGTTCTATGCCTATGGCCAATGAGGTTGATTCGTCTCCATGTACGAAGGAGCAAATGGATAACCTTCTTAAGTTTCTAAAGTTCAATTCATCTCTTATTATTCCTACTGGAACTGTGGCACAAACAGGTAAGGATTCTTGGGCACTATCTGCTCACAACCACTCTAACCCTTAGATAATAGATTCAGGGGCATCTGAACACATGACTAATTGCTCTCATCTATTTAGTATCTATTTTCCTAGTTCAGGTTTTGAAAAAGTTAGGATAGCTAATGGTAGTTATTCAAGTATTGCAGGCAAAGGTAGCATAAAAATTTCAGAGCAAATCACTTTGCAATCTGTTTTACATGTTCCTAAATTCGCTTGTAATCTTCTATCTGTTCATAAATTGTCTAAGGACACTAATTGTTCTGTTCTTTTTCATCCCTCTACTTGTGTTTTTCAGGACCAAAACTCGGGGAAGACGATTGGAACTGCTAGAGAGACGAATGGATTGTACTACCTTGATGGAATTCAGTTTGGCAATAAAGCGTTTTTCGGTTCAAACAGTACAAACTCATCTCCTGTTTCAGATCAAATTATGTTATGGCATAAAAGATTAGGTCACCCTAGTTTTTCATATCTTAAGCATTTGTTTCCTATTTTTTCCAAAGAAATAAATTCCTCACAATTTCATTGTGAAGCTTGTCACTTAGCTAAAGATCATCGTGTGTCTTTTAAATCAAAAGCCTATTCTGCTTCCAAACCTTTTTATTTAATTCACAGTGATGTTTGGGGTCCTTCAAAAATTAAAACTATGTCTGGAAAAAAATGGTTTGTAACATTTATTGATGATCATACACGGTTGTGTTGAGTTTATCTCATGGAGAAAAAATCAGAAGTTGAACAAAGATTTCAAGATTTTTTTAACATGATTAACAATCAATTTCAAACTAAGATTGGCATTCTAAGGTCAGACAATGGCACTGAAAATTTCAACAAACATTTAAGTACATTCCTTGTAACTAAGGGGATAATTCATCAATCCACTTGTCGCGATACTCCGCAACAAAATGGTATTGCTGAAAGAAAAAATAGACATCTCCTCGAAGTTACTAGAGCTATTATGTTTTCTATGAATGTACCTAAGTATCTTTAGGGAAATGCTTTATTAACTGCTTGTCACCTCATCAATCGAATGTCATCTCGGGTGTTACAATATGAAAGTCCTGTACAAGTGTTACAAAACAATTTTCCTACATCTCGTATTATTACGGATCTTCCCCTTAACTTTTTTTGTTGTCTCTGTTATGTGTACATCCCCAATGTTTTTCGTTCTAAGTTAGATCCTAAAGCCGAAAAATGTGTTTTTCTTGGCTATGCTTCCAATAAAAAGGGATACAAATGTTTTAACCCAGTTACAAAGAAATTTTTTGAAAGCATGGATGTTCACTTTGTTGAAAATCAACTTTTTTTTAAAAGTTCTCTTCAGGGGGAGAGTCAATGTAATAATAAAGAAGATAATTTTTGAAAAACTTTGCCTGCTCTAGATGATATTGTGATTACAAATCACCCAAATGCTAAGATAATAGAATTTGAAACAGGGGGAGAAACACTGATTAAGGATGATAATCCTGAACTTAAAGTGTATGTTCGAAAAAAATTCCACAAAGGTGGTGCAAACCCTATTGTCTCTCCAGTAGAAACCCAATCTGATTTACCAAGTGAAGGTCCTACCGATAATCTGTCTTCTAGTTCTTCATCTGGTAATCCTTCTTACTCATCCAATGATTTATCTGATTTGTCTTTTCCTGATATTAATCTTCCAATTTCTGTGAGAAAAAATATTCCTGACCTCGATGTCCCAATTGCTTAGAGGAAAGGTTGTCGTATGTGCACTAAACATCCTATGTCTAATTACTTGTCATATGACAAACTATCACACACCCACAAGGCATATGTGTCTAGAATTTCTAATTCGTTTGTGCCCAGAACTATTCAGGAAGCATTAAGTGATCCGAATTGGAAATTAGCAGTGAAAGAAGAGATGGATGCTCTAAACAAAAATAACACTTGGAATATCACTGATCTACCACAAGATAAAAAGGCAGTAGGGTGTAAGTGTGTCTTTACAGTGAAATGCAAAGCTGATGGAAGTGTGGAAAGATACAAAGCGAGATTAGTAGCAAAAGGATTTACTCAAACTCATGGTATTGATTACCAAGAGACTTTTGCCTCGGTTGCTAAGATCAATTCTATCAGAATTCTTCTTTCTCTTGCAGTAAATTTCAACTGGACACTATATCAATATGATGTTAAAAATGTCTTCTTGAATGGTGAATTACATGAAGAAGTATATATGAGTTTACCTCCTGGATTTGAAAAAAATCTTGGAAGAAACAAAGTATGCAGATTGAAACAATCGCCAAGGGCCTGGTTTGAGAGATTTGGAAGTGTTGTTAAGAGACATGGCTTCATCCAAAGTCAAGCAGATCACACTATGTTTTTTAAACACTCATCTGAAGGTAAGATTGCTATCTTAATAGTGTATGTTGATGACATTATTATTACAGGAGATGACATCAAAGCAATTAGTGATCTGAAGAGAAGACTTGAGGCTGAGTTCGATATCAAGGATATTGGAAAGTTAAAATACTTTCTTGGGATGGAGTTCGCAAGATCTAAAGGGATTTTTCTCAACCAGCGTAAGTACATACTCGATTTACTTGCAGAAACAGGGATGACAGGGTGTAAAGCAGTAGAAACACCAATGGATCCTAATGTGAAACTAAAGTCCGTTGTTGAAGATGAAATAGTAGATAAAGAACGTTATCAACGATTGGCTGGAAGACTAATTTATTTGTCACATACAAGGCCAGATATAGCCTTTGCAGTGAGTGTAATAAGCCAATTTATGCATGCACCAGGTGCAGCCCACTTTGAAGCTATTTTCAGAATATTAAGATATTTGAAAGGTACTCCGGGAAATGGGCTGATATTCAGAAATAGAGGACATATACAGGTTGAAGCCTATACAGATGCTGATTGGGCAGGTAATATAAATGATAGAAGGTCTACCTCAGGATATTGTACTTTTGTAGGTGGAAATCTAGTTACATGGAAGAGCAAAAAACAAAATGTTGTATCCAGGAGCAGTGCCGAAGCTGAATTCCGATCTGTGGCCCATGGTTTTTGTGAAGTATTATGGAT